ATATATATATATATATATATATATATATATATATATATATATATATATATATATATATATATATATATATATATATATATATATATATTTCTATTTAATATTCACTTGTTTAAGGGGACAGTTAACCCGGAAATGAAAATTCGGTCATCATTTTTTTTTCAGCTTCTCAAACATTTTTGAGTTTCTTTCTTCTGTTGAGCACAAAAGAAGATATTTTGAATAATGTCAGAAAGCTGTAACCATTGACTTCCATAGTATTTTTTTTTCAATGGTTGCAGGTTATCAGCTTTCCTCAAAATATCTTCTTCCGTGTTCAACAGAAGAAACTCAAAGGTTTTCAACTACATGAGAGTAAAAAGGTAAATAAATTCTCATTTTTGGGTGAACTATGCCAAAATATTCCTGAATATTATTTTTTAAAATATTTTCAATATCCGTTTTCCTGATGTTTCTTGTCCCGTATAATCTTCACTTGTTTAAAGGGACAGTTCACCCAAAAATTTTAATTCAATCATAATTTATTCAGCCTTCCAAACATTTTATGAGTTTCTTTCTTCTGTTGAACACAAAAGAAGATGCTTTAAAGAATGGCAAAAAACCTGTAACCACTGACTTCCATAGTATTTGATCTTTCTACTATGGAAGGCAACAGCTACAAATTTTCAGCTTTCCTCCAAATATCTGCTTCAGTGTTCGGAAGAAGAAAGAAACTCATAAAGGTTTGAAACCACTTTAGATTTTAAGAGTAAAAAGTGACTAAACCCTCTTTTTTGGGTGAACTATCCCAAAATATTCCTGAAGAAAAGACTTGAAAATGGTTTGTTAATTTTTTTTTTCAATAGACATTTTCTTGAGGTTTCTCATCCCGACATGATCTTGACTTGTTTAAAGGGGCAGTTCACCCAAAAATCTAAATTTGATCATTTATTCAGCCTTTCAAACATTTATGAGTTTCTTTCTTCTGTTAAGCACAAAAGAAGATATTTTGAAGAATGTTGAAAACCTGTAACCATTGACTTCCATAATATGTTTTTTTCCCTACAATGGAAGTCGACAGTTACAAATTACCTGAAAATATATTCTTAAGTGTTCAACAGGAGAAAGAAACTTGTGAATGTTTTAAGATTTTAGGAGTAAAAAGTGACTAAACTCTCATTTTTGAGTGAACTATCCCAAAATATTCCTGAAGAAAGACTTGAAAATGATTAGTTAGGTTATTTTCAGTAAACATTTTCTTGAGGTTTCTCATCCCGACATGATCTTGACTTGTTTAAAGGGGCAGTTCACCCAAAAATCTAAATTCAATCATAATTTATTCAGCCTTTCAAACATTTATGAGTTTCTTTCTTCTGTTAAGCACAAAAGAAGATATTTTGAAGAATGTTGAAAACTTCTTAAGTGTTCAACAGGAGAAAGAAACTCGTGAATGTTTTGAGATTTAAAGAGTAAAAAGTGACTAAACTCTCATCTTTGGATGAACTTTTTCAAAACATTCCTGAAGAAAGACTTGAAAAAGGTTTAAATCGTTTTCAGTAGACTTTATCTTTTCGTTTCTCATGCCATCATACCAGCAGGATCAGTGGACCGTGGATCCATGTCAGCTAGCAGGAGTCCTACCTCTGGATCCTCAAGCCGAAGTTATGGTGCCAAAGTGGGACTCGTTTCTGCATTATGGTCCCCTCCCGGACGATCCTCTCTCCCGGAGCTCCAGCGCCCAATGAGTGCCAAAACACATGAAGCTTCATCACTTTATGAGGGGCTGTTCATATGATGAGCATGTGAG